TGCCTGAAAGGAAGGTGTAGCCAGGTGGGTGGCAGCCTCTTCTCCCTAGTAAGGAGTAATGGGACACGAGAAAATGGCCCCAAGTTGCTGATATTGGATATTAAGAAAGAATTTGTTTGCAAACAGGGTTATAAAAGCACTTGGATGGGCTACCTGGGGAAGTGGTGGATTACCATCCCCAGAGTTATTTAAAGCCATGTAGGTGTGGTAACTCAAAGGAAATGGTTCAACAGTGGGCTGTGCAGTGTTGAGTTAATAATCATTAGAGATTTTTCCAACTTAAATGATTCTGTGGTTCTAAGATCTTTTGTGAGGAACCATTTTAATCTTGGTTTGCCTCAACACCGATTGTCAGAAGCATGTGGGAGAAGGGGTACACATGTGTAGCCTGCAGGAGGCAACCAGGACATGGGTGAAGCCTTGTCTCTGGGGGGATTTCACCTGGCAACACCTCAGATGGGCACCTGGAGACACTGCTCTCCCCAGAGACATCTCTCCAATCAGATGGTGGAAGGGCTCCACCAATGGAAGAAGGTTGGACTGGACCAGTGGTCTCCTGGTCAGCAAGCAGACTTTAGGAGGAGCCAGGGGGTATAAAAATCAACTGCTCCATGAGTTTTGGGGAGGTTTGTTTTGGAGAGCTGGACTTTGTGGAGCTGAGTTAGGGAGAGCTCAGTTTTGGGGAGCTGGACTTTGGAGCGAGACTTTGCTGAGCTGGAGTTGGGGCTGCTGCTCTGTCTCTGTGCGTGTGGCTGGGGTTTTGTTCTTTGTTGCTCACTGCTGGTGGGCTTGCTGCTGAGGGTTCCTTTTTGCCCCGGCTCCAGCCTGCCTGGATTTTGCCCTCGCCTACTCTCGCTCGCCCCCATATATCCGCCTTCCCCCCTCCTGGGCGCTCGCAGGTTGCCATCTGCTCTCCAAGCCTCAACTGCAGCGTCTGCCTCGCCCCGCTCCTTCGCTGACCCAGCCACCGCCTGTCCTGCCTGTGCCACCTGCCTGCCTCCGACCTCGTCTACCACCACGATCCTCGCTTCAACTCCACCCAGGGTCCCGGACCTGTCCGAGTGTCCACTCAGCGTGTGTCCAGCAGTCCATCACCCGAGTGTCCACTCACCGTGTGTCCAGCAGTCCATCACCCGAGTGTCCACTCACCGTGTGTCCAGCAGTCCATCACCCGAGTGTCCACTCACCGTGTGTCCAGCAGTCCATCACCCGAGTGTCCACTCACCGTGTGTCCAGCAGTCCATCACCGCCGGGCCGCTCCTCTCCCCGAGCTGCTCTCTCTCCGGCAGCAGCGCTCACCCTGTCACATGGACGTCGACGGCACCCCCTGGTCTTACTATGATAACACCCGCTCTCTGCCTCTGTCTCCTGTCTCTCTCTACCCATTCCGTCTCCATTTTCCTTTCTCTTTTGCTGTCTTTTCCAGCCCCCTTTAGTGAGCAACTACTTATTCTCGTTTTCGTTGCTAATATATGGTTCTCAGATACAAAGTTTGTCTCGTTTGACTTCATTTCGTTCTCGACCATCCATTTTCAAAGAACTCCTCGCAGCTCCCCACGGTTGGAATGCGACATCCTTTTCTCAGGTTTTAGAAAACTACATAACATGATATTGTACATGTCAATGTATCTTTAAAAATTTTGTATTAGTTTTTTCCTTGTGTTACTGTTTTCTAAAGCCTCTTGATTTTTATTTTTTTTTTGTAATGAGAAACCTAATTTCAAATTATCCATACCAGAAGTACAGAAAAAATACTTCTGTCTCTCCCATATAGTCACCCAGTTTTTGTGATGTACAGCACAAAGTTACAGGATACTTTTTTAGTCATCTCCATTAAAAGGAGTACATGCGCATAATTCAATATAATGGCTTAGATCATCAGCTACTGTAAATTAGCAAATCTCTGCAGAAGGGACGTATAAGAGATGAGGATACTGACTGCTGTGTATAAGCAGAGGGCTGTGTTTCAGTAATCCAGATACATGATAGAACGTACTTTTATATAGAAATGGTTGGCAGATGATGCATTGCATTTTCAATATCAACCTACTTTCTTTCCTGGCTAATGTTTTTCTTTGTTTTCAAAGCTGGGGGGGGCAGGGGGTGTTTGGGCTTTTGTTGGTTTTTGGGATTTTGTTGGGGTTTTTTTTTGGTTTTTTTTTTGTTTTTTTTATGAAAGTAGGTTGTATTAGCTTTCACTTCTCCAAATCAAATCTCTTTTTTGTCACCACATTTGCTCTTACTAGAACTACCTAAAATATTTTTATGTCTTCATTTGTGTTTGCAGACACTCTAGAAGARAAAAATGGTTAAGAAAACCAGAAACAGATCCTTATGGCACCTTTATTCAATACTTCACAAAATGTGACACCCCTCACTTATGGTCTTAACACAATTTTGTGGAACAGTGTGCCTTTTTTCATATCCAGGCTATTTCAATTAATCTGAGGTTGAGATCCTATTATCTTAATAGACACTGCATGGACTCTGTTGYTGGGAATGTAGAAAAGTTCTTCCTAAGCATTAGGAGAAACAGTCCTTCCCTCTTATCTAAATAAAACCATTTCAAATGCTRTTTGCTGTGGCTAAATGAATTTAGATATGCCAAGAAATCTAACTCTTGCTTATCTGTGCACTTACCTATCTGTAATAGGAGTATTACTGCTAACTATACCTCTGTGTTCAAATTGTTATCAAAAACTCTATGAAATGCAATGAACTGAAAATCAGAGGGACCTACTGTTATAGAAAGATGTGCTACTGTTTACAGTTCATCCTGCTTCCTAAAGTTTTGACTTTTTGGCAACAGCATCCTCTTCATAATYRTGAGATAAAATGGAATTCATTCTTMGCTTACATTATGGTTTCAAATAATGACTGTTAAAAGAGATAGTGCATTTCATTTCATTTGGAGAAAATACTTATATATACCCTAGCTAAATATTTCTGCCAGCAACAAGTGCTTGTATCCACTCYTTGGTAGGCTSTCMMWTTCTTTAAAATGTCCCTTCTCACCYTCTCCTTTTCCCCCTACTGCTCATGGTTAGAGACTTAAAATAATTTTTTAATTCCTGTATTTTTCTATCTCTCTACATTCTAACACTTTTTTTTCTTATTCTAGAGCACATTAATTTTTTTTCAACCAGAAAAAGAGGTTTTTTTCCTTCTTCCAAGATTCCTTCCAGTGAATGTTCTGGAGCTTAGAGGGTTCAAAAGAAGAAAATACCCCTTGCCAGCCCTCATGCCAAAAAATTTTAAATTTATAAATTAWAAAGAGCTTTTGAACCTCTGTGTGWGAGAGATGCTGRARGCAGATGTGTCCCTTGCCTGTAATAAGTGTGTTTGCCCAGCTTATTCAAAACTTTTGGACAGTTTTGTTCAGGGAGTTTCCTTTCTCTGCCTGTTACCTGTTGATTCTGCAAGCACAAATAGTTATGATTTCTATATAATTTTCTATATATTTCTATATTTCTTATTTCTTTTAAACTTTCTTTTAAAGTGTGTTTCTGCAAGGAATGCAGAAGGATATGCCTGTACATTGGCAAGTTTGGGCTGCAGGTTTCTTGGCATATGTGTACATATTTCAGATTGAAAAAATTAATTAGAAAAAGTGAAGTGCATGTTTATACRAAACTGAAGGACTCAGACTTTACACCAAAAGCAAATATCTTTTCTTCTGTGAACATGTCTCACAGTGTGCTAATAAAGAGCACTTTGAAGAATAATTCAGTATTCAAAATTCACCCTAGAGATGTTTGGTTCGGGAATGTTTAGAAAGTGAATTTTGAATGTAGGGGAAAAAAAAGTAGTCTAGTGATAAATAATGAAATTTCAACTAGCTTTTAAAAAATAAAGTTATTTAATAAACCTTATAAAATATAAAAACATATTGCCATATGGAAAAGTAATCAATTTATTAATAAACTGAAAATGTATTTTAATTTTCCTTTTTCTTTTTTTTCCCTTCATAGATCAATAACACGCTCTTATTATCGCAATTCTGTGGGTGGCTTACTAGTGTTTGACATCACAAATCGACGATCTTTTGAACATGTGAAAGACTGGCTAGAGGAAGCAAAAATGCACGTGCAGCCCTTTCAGATTGTGTTCATGCTAGTAGGACACAAATGTGACTTAGTGTCACAGCGTGAGGTTACAAGAGAAGAAGCTGAAAAAYTATCATCTGACTGTGGTATGAAATACATAGAAACTTCAGCAAAAGATGCCACAAATGTTGAAGAGTCCTTTACAATTCTTACACGAGACATCTATGAACTTGTAAAAAATGGAGAAATCTCAATACAAGATGGATGGGAAGGTGTCAAGAGCGGCTTTGTTCCAAATGTTGTWCATTCATCAGAAGAAGCTGTAAAGCCTAGAAGACAGTGCATCTGCTGAATCTGTAGCATGCCAAAGAGCCCATGGGGTATTTAGAAGATGATGCCAATCTAAATGACAGGAAAATAATTTTGAAACAATATTAGATCATGACATAGCTGAATCATAGAACAGTAATATGGTTTTGTATCCTTCTGTCTAGGTTATAATCCATAACACTTTAAGTGCTTTTTTTCTTTACAGAGTTAAACAACTTCATGTGGTCTTCAGGAAAAAAAAATTATGTATTTCTATAAAACAAATTCTATAGCAAGACACTGAGAAAGTGCAATAATCATYGTGACAACATCATCACTTGGGCTTTGTAATTTGAATACTGTTTAAAATCAAGGCTTGTTAGGTGAAGATCAGATGAGCTCCTTGCTTTTTTTCATCCTGCCTTAGCTTTGGACAAGAAAATATTATACCTTATACTTTTTTAATGTGATTCTTTACTCAAGTGCAGGGTTGCTAATGCTCATTAAAGTTTAGAATGCTGTAGAATTTGATAATAGAGATAAGTCTAAAGAAAGCAAACTGAAAGATTGCTTCAATAGCAAACACTTTTGATATGACAATGCATACAAGCCTTATTAAAGAAAAAGAATGTTTTAGAAAAGATGATTTATTTGTATACAAAAGTAGGAAATAGAAACAATGGAATTTATTMTTAAGTATTTTCTGAATTACCAATGAAACTAAACATAACATCGCATATGACCCAGCTGAACATATTATTTGACCTGTATACAAAGCAGCTTTACCAACAACTGAAGTTACATTTCAGAGGTCAGATCCTCAGCTGGGTAATTATCATAGTCACACTGATGCCTATGGAATTACATTGATTTACACAATCAAATTCCATACTAGCTTTAAAAAAGAAATCTACTTCTAACTAGAAGTCAAAAAAATTAAAAAGTGCTGCAACYCAYGGGAACCCAGGCCTTAAATTTGAATAGAGCAAGGACAGTTTYATTCTTAGCCAGCAAATGTTAAACTGTTGTCTAAAAATGGAAGGTTTTAAACTAAAACTGTTATGAATAGAGCATTTGGAGAGGAAAGTCTTCCTAAAATAATGCTCGGCTACAGAGAGCAAAGTTAGAGAGCTCATACTCTAAGAAGGAAACCCATAATAACCTTTAATAACAACAACAATAGGAGAAATCTGTGATCGTGTAGCATTTTACTGAGCTTGGAGTCATCTTCCTACTCCTCTGATATAAGACACACTAGCTTTATGCAAACTAGGTCTAGCATTTAAATACCAAATAAATCTACTTCTATTTTATTGTAGTTGTATAAAAGGTGACTTGATCTCCAGAGTTGATAAGCATTCACAATTTATCTGGCATACTCATAACCACCAAACTTCAAGTCAGTTATCTTCATATAAAGGTGTGTTGTTGTGTACAATTCTCCTTTCCCAAGACCAGGCAACAAGTCTATCTAATCTAAGTTTCTTCTTCAACAAGCATATGATTGGTTTTCTTTCAGGTTACTTTTACGTTCTTTTACAATCCTTTTTCATATATTTYGTAGTAATGAGAGAGGTTGTTTGGTTCCAGTTACTTCATACATTTAGAGCAATTAAAATCATTGATTTCAAAGGGAACTAAAASTTCAAGGTTTTTTAGCCTGAGTCTGACTTGCACTGAGGCACCGTTACACTATGATGGAGGCCTTAATATAAACAGGAATCAGCCTTAAATCATTAGCAATTAAAACAATTAATTCTATCTCAGCACGCCACAGAATAATTGATGTGAGCCCGATTCGCTATTAAACTACATGTATTGACACCAAATCAACTTTGTTTTGAGGGTATTTTASGCCCTCTTTACAAAGTAAACATGACCACAGATGCCAAAAGTAGTGCAGAATGAGGCTGTATGCATTTGACACTGATTCCCTTATGGTATGTGGCCTATGTTATGCATCTCAGAAGTCTTCTCTTCACTGTTTAAGAGGCCAACAAATAAATCAGTGACTGGGGAATTAACAGACCCAAGGTTTACTACTGGTTCACTGTGTTTCTGAGCAAGGCATTTACACTTCCTGTGCCTCATCTTCTGTACCTCAAATACAGAGGATTATTGTTCCACAAATTCACAAAGACTGCCAAGACCAAATAAATCTCTATGATCTTTAGTCCTGGACTCTATCCCCTGTGTGCTACCCTTTTTTGAGTGTTAAGCACCGTGAGATGTGGATAGTAGTTTCTTCTGACATACCTAAATAACAATAATTAAAAAACCCCAAAATTATACAGCCTTATAAGTGCCAGGGATTGCTGTGAATCTACATTTCATTGCACATTTCATTACTTTTAAATTAAAATCTTGTMTCTTAAAGTTTTCTTCCTAAATACTCTTGAGCCAATGAGCTTTTCRTTCTTGTAAAATAAGGGTTGTACTGGGGGAAAAGGACTGGGGGAAGAGGGGAGTGGAGTGGAGGTATGCACAGAGAAATAAATCATCAGAACAGAGCCTTAATCTCTGTTGTCAATATTGTACCTGTGGTGTCACATTTATTACACTGGGAATAGCGCTTTTAACCAGATTCAGTTGTATAAGGAGCTGGTATTTTCAATGCAACTAGAAGAGAAGTTGACTGCATTTTAAAGTACTATGCACATAGTTGTTTTACTTGTAATTCCTAAAAATGTAGATTAACATGTACTTTCAAACACTGTCTGTCTTTATGATATATTAAACCACTGCTGTACCTWCTCACTACACACTTGCAGTTAATAGAAGTGTCTGATAAATAGATAATTTGCTGAAATRCATCATTTTCTTTTCAGATGCTTTGCAACATGGTATGGAAARCAGCAGCTTGAATAAGCTGTAGAATGGGTTATAGTTCAGTGTATGTATATTCTTTCTGTCCCCCAAGGAAGCGTGAATATTGATAACAGAATTAAATTCCCAGAAATTACAGAAATCAGATAAACCTTACTTGGCAGTCAAATTTTTAAAAGTAGAAAATATTTAATAAGAAAACACAGACTTTGCAAATTAAGTTGGGTCAATCCCAAATAGGAAATGGAAAATGTTGAAAAACCTTGACAAAGGTTTTATTTGGATTCATAGGCTTGGCAAATGAATGGATAAAAAGTATTGGTTTGGACTCCTAAAACGTTTAAACTTCCATTGCTTTTATTTTAAATTTGATAAAGAAGAGTAAATATCTTCCTCTATTCATTAAAATAATTTACACATTAATTCTTCAGATATTTTGGCTTGTTTTAATTTTATCTGTCCCATATAAGAAACAGAAACTAGGCTTTTATGTTAGGAATCAACCAAGGAAAAGATTTCAAGGTATCAAATGTTCATAKTGCTCATATATGCCTTTAGTATAGAATAGACTTAATCATCTTACTTCAAGCTGGTGACAGTCCTGTGCTTAGAGAAAATAATGCAGGTTTGACTGAGGCCCCAAACACTATGCTGCCCTGTGGTGAGATCCCTTCTGCCTCAGCTGAACAGTTACTGCTACCCAAGTCACCTGTCTGAAAGCAAAGGTGTGGGGATGCACCATGATCACAGATATTTCAGTCTCAGCATTTCAGCTCCCTTAGGGAGTACATGCTTCATTGCCCTCTTTTTACATAATTAACATCCAGGAAGAGTGCTTTTTCCCTCACTTTAGACCCCAKAACAATATGAGCTACTCCAAGCCTTCACCTTTGCTTTTTACATAGAGTTGGCACAGCAATTTCAATAGCCTTTCAGTCTTGAAGAGCAAGAAGGAGGACTGAGGGTTTACACTCTACATGGGCACGGAACCTTACCACAAACRTGCTGGACTGTTTAAGAAATCATTAAATATCAAAGAAACAGTTGTCAACAGCAAAAATTTGCATTGCTTATTTCTCAGAGTCTATAGCCTATCTTTCAATAAATGAATGAAATTAAAATACTAAAAGAGAAATCTGTAAAATATAAACCTTCCTAAAAACATTAATGGATAGGACTACATAACAAAATAAACAGATTAAAAAAGAAGTCATAAATAAGTCATGCATTTATGTAACGGTCCTTTGCTCTAGTACTTAACTGTGCATGGTAGCACCAATGTTGCCTAAGTTCTTTAGGTATAATAATGGTATTATCAAATGTATTTTAAACTAGAAGAATTCAACAAAAATTCATCTGCATAATCCTCAGTGAAAAAAATATTACTATCTCGTGAATGCACATGCACTTACTTCTCAGCTCACTTCTAGTAGTAATTCAGTGTCTGGGTCTAGTGCTACATTCTGTGCTCCTCTGAAAACTACCTACATTTGCTGTTGTATTACTTATTCACATTTCCACCTCTCTGAAGTGAATACACCTGTGGAAAAGCTGATTCTTTTTCTTTTTAGCATGGCAGAATTGTTTATCGYGTGCCAACAAATGTGTAAATCTGATGAAAGTAATGCAACCAAAGATGTGCCAATTGAGCATAACATGAAAACTCTGAAGGCACAAGTTCTTGAACACAATTTACCTTGCACACTACTTAATCAGTGGGAGTGTGAAGAAAACTAAGTTGATTCTGCAAATCTGAAAGCATTTTGCCAAACAGGACTTTAATGCTAAAGAGCCGGCTCCAGGTGCTGGGTTCTACAGAGTAATGGGTTTTCTTTTCAGGAGTTGCTGCTTCCACAAACAGTGGAACAGCAAACACATGGATAAAAATGAGTCCAGGAAAAGAGCTTCATAGCACAAATGTGCAAACATATAATATACACAATGTGAGCTTCTTACCCTGGGGAGTTGGGGAACAATTATTTGGCCACAAATGCCACTTGCATGGCTGCTTCTCCCATGAGTGCTCATTGCYCACAGAGGCTAGACAGGAACAGCAAGTAGAAGGCTCTTTATGGAGTGGTTGGTAAATCTTCGTTTAAACTCAAACTGAGGAATTCAAAATCCCAATCCCGAGCTGCTGGAGTGGATCACTGTCTTTGAAAGTATTTAATTCATTTACTTCTCAGACAAAGTAATGTTTTAAGCTAGGCCTGAACCCTGTGGGTGTGTTCRGTGTGTAACCAGCAGAGATGAGTATTTGCTGGGGGCAGTGCTGTGAGCCAGCTGACAGCACCCCCCACCAACCTCACAGGCTACAACGGCAGCTCAAACTAAGGTTAACTTAATCACAGGCTGCTAGGTTAACTTAATCACAGGCTGCTAAAGGCCCACCTTGCAGTTGAAGAGCTTCTACAGAAAGGCAAAAGTAGAAGTAGTGAAACTAAAATCAATGCATTGTAAATAAAAGTAATGTCTAGGTAAAGAAACTCACATGTCAGCTRTAGTTCAATTACTGCCATTCCTCATTGCTGTGGCTTCAAATCTGCAGAATCTATGCAAATCTGAGTTTTCCTGCTCCGTGAAAAATCTGGAGGGATAAACTGAAACTGCTGTAGCAGTAAGTCAGTCACAAGAGAGAAGGCTACACAAGATAAGGGTGGAAGGAGGACACAGATTTTTTTTTCCATCCCTGCACGCCCCTGGGGGAGCAGGGAGACTAACCACGGCCAGAGTCTTTAAGACGGTGTAGAAGTATCCATCACTGTTGAGGGACTTATGGAATGAAAGCAAGCACCAAGGACCTGGAGTCGGCACAGAGATGCAGGCTATTGACTCCCTAATTCCAACACTCCTAAGSATAGGTTACTTATGTGGCACAGCTGCAGGAACAGTTGGCTATAACTCTGTGCTGGCACTATGACTACATTGCATAGTGTCTATATTGCATAAAAGCAAATGTCTACGTTGCAGGCTTTCCCCCCTTTCACCTTCTCCCCCATGTGGTTTCTTTACAGGAAGGGACTGTCAGCAGCCGTTKCTGGCACCAAGGTCTGACAGTGAGCAGGGCAATAGTTGAAAATTTTAGTGGTAGTTGCTAAGTATTAAGGTACTAAAACTGAGAAGAGAAATTGTGGAAAATATTCCAGTCATAATCTTAGTAATAAAAACCTTTCAGGGCTGGCACTGCTCTGCAGCACTTTTGAGAATTGTCCATTTTGGTTAAGTTTTCAATGCCAAGAAAATAGTTCAGCTATTTAGTAATAATTTATATTAGTTTGTCATTTAAAAATAATTACTGCTTATTATTCAGGGAGAAAACTCTGTGCAGATCATTTTGGTAATTTTGCTGATATATGACTTGTGTTGTATGTTTTAAAAAGAGCCAGCTATGCTAGGATGTAACTTTAAAATATCCAAATCTCAAATCCCATCAATCAGACCATTGAAATGCACAGTTCATTTTATTGGGACTTTTCTCTGTCCAATTCTCTGTGGAAAAGAGAGCCTGATTCTCAGAAAAGCTTTTAAAACAAAAGAGAGGCAAAGCTTACTGAGCACTGAAAAATTGATGCATATGTGAACAAGTGTCAGAAATGTAGAACATGTTTTTTCATGTTGTATCCTCTTTCACTCTACCATGCTTCACAGACCAGCTATAGCTCCCCAAGTACATAGTGAATGGAACAGTAAATTTCTAGCTGTCCAAAAAACACTGGGAGATCAAATGTGATTCCCCACAGCAGCTCCCTAACTGTGCTTGGGTGAGGAACAATGGCCACATTCTGCCTAACACAAGCCATGTGCTTCTCTGTGTCCCAAGAGGAATTTGGCCTCAACAAAAACTCTCCTGCAGGTTCTGCCTGCAAACAGTCACTCTGCACCACCCCACACCATCCTCAATGACACTCAGGATAAAAAGTGTAAGGTTTTCCATCAAGGAAACTATGAGGTAATAGYCCTGTGCTCTAAAAAATACATCAGAGAAAAACAAATATCAGGGAGAGAGGTTATTTAAGCTAAAGGACAATGTTGGCATAAGAACAAAGGGGTCATACTGAGATGCACAGGATAGGTGGTTCTGCTGACACTCAGATAGCAAAGCCTTGGGCCACTTTAAGTGAAAGCAGCAGTAATCTCTACTGCCACATGCAGGCAATTTTCCCAGAACACCACTGTTATTAACTGTAAAGGTGATGTGAAGCCCAGATAGTAAACAGCAGAAGTGTTTGCTTTCTTGTTGAAATGGAAACAAATATAAGAGAATTTTGGTCACTGACAGTCTTTTTTTTTTTTTTCAGCTACAGGTAGATGTCTGAGTGTCCTTGCCCTTTTAAAATTATCGTCTTCAGTGACCCGCAGCACGGTTTGTGCATGAGGTCATTGTTATAGTCCACAGCARTGATAAACAAGATTTTCCCACTGAAAGAAAACCTGTAAGTTTTAGTGTCCCTACTGAATATAATTATTGCAATAGGAGAAAAGTTTAAAATGGACTAATCAAGTATCAAATGGTTTTTTTTTCCCATCATGGACTAAGTGAAGATTAGAAGAAATTATCTTCATCTTTATTGGTACATGTGTTTTAGGGTATTGGAACAGATCATAGAAACTCATATTTCTCTCTGATGCAGCTCATTCAAAGCCTGGAATCAGTTCACTCCACGACATCTAGGAAATTATGATGGTATTAATTTTACTGATCATCCAAATCTTAATGAGGTGTTCCTTGCAAATCACTTTGAAGCCATGGACATCTCAGGGACTGCCATTCACCATGCTTTTTACAATCCATGCAAAGGATATAAAACTGGAGGCCAGTGTAGTACCAATCAATAATTAATATCTTCATTACCAGGAGTATTTAATAATAMTCCATTTGTAATACAATTAAAGCAAATAAAATAGTATTATGTAACACTAAGTACCGTCAAAGCAGCCTGAAGTAGTACTAAAATACTGCAAAACCTTAAGGCTCATAGATGTCTTTACTTCCCAGAAAATTCACACACAGATCTTCAAGGAAAAAAAAAACCAATTACAGTCATTGTGTAAACCATGCAAAATGAGATGCATGTTATTTTTAATATCAGTAAAAAGTACCAMTGTTTCCTTGTCTCCCTGCTTCTCAGATGTTCAGGTTCTCTTTATTCCTTGGCTAGCCTACTCATAGCTATTGCACAAGAGCATATTTGGGCAGGATGCAAGAACTCTCATWGTCAGTACAGTCATTGCTGACCCATCCAGGCCAGCAGCATAAATGTTACATAACAGCTACCAGGTGATTAAGGAGACTCAGAAAAGACCAGACTATGAAAGGTATTCAGGTGCTGCTGTATCCCCATACTACATTTTTGTGGCAACATTTGTTTTAATGAAAAGTGAAAATATAGAGAAATCCATCATTTTCAAACATAGCATTTTAAAACACTGTCCCACTTCATTTAACTTCAATGCTGRTTTTGCAAAATTTACAGTTATGATGTTCTAATGGTTTGTGTTGTGGTTTTGTACTCTTAAGCTTTTCATCAAAGGGACCTGAGATGCAGTTCTCTATAGTAGTTCATTTTCTGGCTCTATGTATCAAAAGTAGTTTATAAATATCACTGAATTGTGGCATTAATAGCAAACACACATTAAAAAAGCTAATAGAAAATGAAAAGAGAAAAAAAAATCCAAATAATTGGAAATGCTCACATTTTAAAGGGTTTAGGAAAAAGAGAATAAATCAGTTCAGGGAGTAGTGGCTCATAGAAATGGCTGCCTCCATGTCACATTCTGTAGAATATGAGCTTGTATCTCAGCTTCTCTGGTACTTACATACCTGTAACATAATACTGGACAGCCGAGAGGCTAGTGCACAAATACACAATGCAGCTAGCAATGCACATTTTACCAATCCTGCTGGAGGTCTCCTAACTTCAGCACTGTTGTGGAACATATGGGCAATGGAAAGTGCATAATCCAATTAGATCTGTATTGCATAATTACATATTATATGTAAAATTGTACAACTGTGTCCATTATATGTGCAATGAATACTGTACACTTAAATATTTATAGTATACTATAGTACAGTATAGATTAGTATAGAATATATTCTGTATTATATGTTATATA